TCCAGTGCACCAAAATTGATGATGGTTCCATTTTTAATGCAGATAACGAATCTGTAAATTCCTCAATATGCTATACTTAATTTGTAAGCTGACTAATTGTTTGTTGTTTTTCAGGAGGCAGCCACCTTTTCTGAATATATCGACATATTTTTTGATATTTTCATTTGCTTGACTTAACTTAACTTAATAACAAAAGTATCCGTAGAACAAACATTGTTCAGTACAAAAAGCTCCATCACTTACATGTATTAGTTTTTTTGACGTAGAATTACGTCTTTCGACAACATATTGGGGGGTGCAATTAAAAAAAAACACTAAATTGACCGCGTTACGAAAAGTGGTCAGGTTTTGACCACTTATAACTCTGTCAATAGCGGACGAATTTCAATTCTAAACGAGCCAATCGATTGGAAATTTTTCCACGAATCTGCTAAAAGGAACACTGTTGCGATGGTGACCAAAATAATCACCGATTGCCTGCAAAAAGCGCTTTCCCTAACACAGATTTCAAAATCGAATTCCAACCAGTCTCGCCAAACGGTTCTTATTCAATCACCGTGTGTGATGGTGTGCGGTCGGTCGTCATTAACAGCAGCAGCAGTACTTCCGGCGCGTGGCGTTGAACATTGTTCTCCAGTACACAACGAAAGGCTGCCCGCAAGCAGCGAACTGCAGCATTCAGCGAAGAAGGAGGAAGAAGCCGCACCGCTACTGATCGAATTCAGTAGCTCTTCGCTAGTTGCTGTAGGCCATCTATGCCAAGCGCGTTACCCTCGTTCCAAACAACATACAGCTCTCGCCAGCCTCATCCGTGTTGAACACCCTAATAGCTCAGCATTACTGAACCATCACGACTTGGATACAACCTCTTAATCCTCGTGATTGATCAGAACTAATGCACCTGCACAGAGAACCACAAAGATGGTTTGCATGATTAGCTTTCGTGCTTCTTCAATGTACAAGGCCACTAATTTAATCTATTTATAGATCAATCACAGCGCCGGCCAAGTCCTCGCGGTCTTTTTGGGGATGGAAGGATGCTTAGTGTGATGTCCGTTGTTACTAGAGACCGAATACATCACACCTCTGCATCTCCACGGCTTTCACGGGAGGAATATAGTTGTGTTAGTGAGGTGGGTTTAGATGTGAGGTCGAGGTGTTTAGACTAGGATTCACTGTGGTAAATGATGCGATCGGTTAAAGCGGAATTTGTTTTAATTAAAATCTAGTGGGGATCGAATAAGGCAGAGCGAAAAATTGAAAAGAGCGGGATGGGCCTGGGATTGAACTCCCGACCTTCTGCTCAGTAAGCAGAAACGGTAACCACTGAGCTACCAAGCCTCGTCACATGACGGAATTCTCCGTAAACTTACCAGCAATTTCCCTACTCGTAGTTCCTTGGAATTCCCTTGAAACTCTCCTAAGCATTTCATTGGAATCTTTATTAAAATTCCAAATTTTTCTTTATTGAAAGCTCTCACCAGAAATCTTCCGGAATTCGCTTGGAATTAACTTCTGAATTTTTTCGAGTTTTCCTTAAGGATATATTTTAAATTCTTTTCAATTTTACTTCAAATTCAGTTTTCAATTACATTTAGTACCAGGGCTAAAAAATGCAATTTTCAATGACAGATCTCACGCGATATTTTCAGATGATGTTTAAAAATGCGGTATGTTTTTCAAAATTAAAGAACCCCACTGCGAGTTATTTTGATGAACCAAATAAAAGCAATCCTAACCAATTTATGCTCGTACAAATTTTGCAAATTCCTTCCCGCATAAAATGTTATTCCCACGCCAACAATCAACATAAACAACCCAATCGTCGCACCCCTCGGTTACACACACACACACACAAACACCCACCGCAAATGCAAATGATTATCAATTGCTGTGCAGTGTCATTATGCGCAACTCAGCGTTGATGGCAGCTTATCTCGTCCTGAAGCATTCCGCCGACCAGCTACTGCGATCGCACAGTGAGTGCCCACACGAGAATGGTGAAATGCCTCCTCTGGGCCCTGGCTCAAAGGAAGAGTAGAGCGAAAATGCGCCGTCTTTTGCTCGATATAATTTACGATAGCTATACTCGACATAAGGCCCAAAAGAAGGCTCTTCTATAAACATCTGGCCGGCCACCGCGCCGTTTGTTGCGTCCGTTCGAATGAATGAGAACGAAGGGGAAAACTCGGAAAACTAGAGCACTTGTTAAGTTGTTGTTGAGCACACACCGGTTGCTGTGGTGAGGTGGGTGACGAGAGGAAGAAGGTGCGTGTGAGTTTACAGTCCAGTGACTTTCTTTCGAATCAACGCACGCTGCTGTGCAATTCTAGCAACGTTGAGTAACGAAACCCTGCCCCAGTACGTAGTAGGCTGCGATGTGAGTGTGCGAGTGTTGCCGGCTAGACGAGTTTTTCTGCAAGTGCTGCGAGTATGTCAAAGCGTGTAGATTAACACTAATTATGATGACTTGAATGATCTGAGTGGGCAGGCAACATTGTCGCGGTCTCTAGAAGTTTTATCGCTGTTGGTAGCCAGTCAAGCAGTCAATGGTCATTAATAAACGGGTAAAGAAAAAGAAGACGCCACCGCTTGCCATCTGGGCTTCCTTTCTCAGGATCTTTTTAGGCGAAAATAAAAAATTCAAACCTTTGCTATTTCACGCCGAAATCTAGTATGCCAGGGTTGAAAAAACATCGCGCGCGCGCGAGTGCTCAATCAAGCCGATCTCAGTGTGCCTTGATTTATTTCTACTTTTTCTTTTTCGTCTCCGCCGGCACCCGAGAGCGAGTAAGACAAAGAGATTTGCTGGCGCCCCTCTCGCCCGAATCGTTAATAATCCGGCGGTGCGCCGCCTGATTGGTCGAAAATCTAAAATCGAATCATCAAATCGCACCTTCAATGGCTCGCGAGCAAGCGAGCGAGCAAGTGAGTGAGCGGCGAATGTACACCACACACACACGATCTGAGTATGCGCGAGAGATCTCGAACCGTCCCTTTCTAATGTTTCTCGCACGCGCGTTTCTCCCTCTTCAAATGTATGGGAAAATATACTCACGAACCGACCGACCGACCGACCGAGGAGAGATTAGAAGGCTCATACACCACGCCTACTTTGGTCTCCCCCCGAATTCCCGTCCGACCGACGATGGTGATGCTGTGCCGAGGGAGATGAATCCTCTGCCAGTGCCACGCATTTCTCCATTTCAGCCCCCGAAATTTTCTCGATGCGCGAATCCCCGGAAGCCTCCTTTGATCGAACCGTGTACCTAACCGTACATAAAATGTATGCTATAAAAAGATCAAAAATCGTGTATGCCTTGATGGTTCCTTTGTTGCGGCCAGCGTGCTTTGTTGATGCCGCCGACCAACCCACCCTCTATGTAGGTATCGTTTAAAGTTTTGCTCCGATTTCCCGCATCCATTCATTCATTCATTCATCCGTTCGTGTCCGGTACGAGACGACCCCAATGACGGCAACGACAACCGGTCGGTCGGCCGGGCAAGGTCCATTATTTTACGATGTTTATCCAAGAAGTGGTGGTAGATAGTCTTAGAGGAAGAATGACTTTTCGATCCCAAAACAAACCGAAATCAAAGCGCGGCGTTTGGCGTTCTTTTGTATGCCGTCATGCTCCGGCCCGAGTCGTGTTTGACACAGATAAACAAACCAGGAAGAAATTGTCAAATATTGGTCCATCGCTTTTGGTGTCTTCCTGTTTGTAGGTTATGCGCTCTTTTCCCGCGTGGCTTTGTTGCTTGAGAGCGGGGAAGGGCCGAGAGTAAACAGTTATTTTATGAATGAATGGATCTTCAAGAGTGCCCCGTTGTACCTGTTGTGCTCAGAAAATGTCCGGGAAAACCTTCGATCTCTCTAGGGTTGTCATTTCATTCGGTCACCTCGCAATTTTGAACGAGTGTATGTCAAGATTTAAGACCTCTGGGGAGCTAAAATTTTGACTTCGCGTAGGTTGTGAGTGAGCAAGCAAAACTTGTACTGGAAACCCTAATCCTATGCTTTAGAAAAGCCTTTTTTATGCACACATCAATCTTGAGTGGAAAAGAAAAAAAAAACATCAAATATTAGTTCATCACTCACTCTTCCCATTTGACGTTTTCATTCATCGAAAGTAAACAATGAAAACATTTTATGAATGAACGAACTCTCAAGTAGGGCGCCTTGGAAAGAAGCAGCAATGGCAACAATTATGTGACGTGACAGCTGCTGCATGCCTGCTACGATGATCCCGCCGTAGCACCTATGCTGCTCGTCACTTCCACATCTAGCCATAGACCTGTCTACGGTGGCAGCGCACACCAGCTTCGATTGACGTCATTCAAAATATGATAATTTAACATGTTATTGTTCTTCCCGTCCGTCCAAGCGATCATTAGCGTTTTCCTTTTCTTTCCGCTCGCTGGTACAACACACGCGCTTTTTGCTACAACACACCTTAGTTCGTGTGTAGACAAGTGTGTGCATAAACATAAACACCAATCATCATCATCTTCGGCAGAGTCCGTGGCCAACGGCATAATTCTACGTGATGGAGCAGTCCCCCGTCGTGCAGCGGTGCAACGGCTCCTATGCTGTAAACAATCCCGAAGACAAAACGCGTGCACGCGCGCCTTCTTGGATCAGCAGAAGAAGAATATGAAAATGAGTGATGCTCGCGGCTCGTGCGACGAAGAAGTGTCGGATCGGAAACGGAAATAGATGCATTCCCTTCCCATTCTTTTAATGGCTTTAATTGAAACCGTCGTCGTATATGACTACGTACGTGGTCATATTTTCCTGCATTTCCTCTCGCCACAGAGCGCTGGTGCACAGCACAAATAAACATAGATCATAACCTCAAAATATGTCTTAAACAAGCAATGTTTACACCCGTGCTGCAGTGCAGCACGACGGGCACGTGTCCGGAAGGAAGTCACGATGCCGAATGTTTAGAGATTCATACTCACTTTCTCCTTTCTCTCTCTCTCTCTTTTTTTTACAGGTTACACATCCCTCCACGATCGTAGTAATAGTTCCCCACCTCCGCTGATCCAATCCTCCAACCAATCCGGAAGCGGAGCGGGAGGCGGGGGAGGAGGAGGCGGAGGCGGAGGAGGCTCCGGTGGCAGTAACAACAATAGTAGCAGCACAAACTCAACCTCCTCTAGTGGTAATAGTAGTAGCAATAGTAACAACAACAACAACAACAACAGCAGCAGTATGTCCTCCTATCTGTCATCGATGGCGGCGGCCGTGAGGAATGCCAACAGTAACAATAGTGGCAACAACAACAACAGCAGTAGTGCGAATAGTTCCAACTATCCTAGCAGCAATAGTGCGAATACCCCATCGACGGCGTCCTCCGGAAGCGGCGGAAGTCACCCGCAAATGAAGGAAGAGCACGAACCGAACAGTTTTATCAACATCGACGAGCTGCCGGTGAGTGCTTGATCTTAAATTTTAATCAACCAATGGTGCAGTCAGTCAGGCATGGCGCCACCTTCGCCAAAAATATCGATTCTGGGAGCGAAAACATTTGGTAGGGGTGTTGCGTAAGAAATTGACCCAGCACATGTACAATTTTTTTTTTTTCAAAAAAAGGTTCATATTTCGTTAAAACATTTTCCGGTTTTCTGCATAGAAAATAAATCGTGGTAGTTTTTTTTTTTACTAGCGACCAGGGATGCCAGATGGTTTTGCAAATTGTCTGTATGAATGCTAATAAAATGTCTGCATTCTCATAAATTTTGAATACCGAGAGTAGCGATAAGAGAGGGAGTTGTGTGGAATATGTGAAAGTCATTTCTGAGCAAGGTTTCAAATGCATATTTCGCGTAACATGTTTTTCGTAATTTCGTGATAATTACATTACGTTCACATCCAATGAGAGAGGCACTATAAACTGAAACCTGCGTTGGTCAATTGCTGTCATTTTCAGGGTTGTTACATGAAACCAATCCTCTCCAAATCCACTCGAACAATAATTCATAGGTTTGCAGCAAATTTGGTTACTAGAAATGTTCAACCAGAAATATGTCAAAGGGTATTGGATGTTTTGTGAGCCTATCTTGAACCTTTTAAAAAATTTCTGGGCTTTCATAAATTGTCCCATACCTCCATCTGATTCCCTTAACTTCTTTTATTATTTTAAAGAATTTTTGAAGTTCCATGATTTTTATAGGTTGCCTGGACGTCTTTAAAGTACTGTAGTTCCCTAAATTTCCTTAATTTGTTTAGATCTTAATAAAGGTTTCTAAACAAATTTCAAGATTTTCTAAACTTTTTTTGAAATTCTCTAAACTTTTTTGAAAAACTCAGAACTACTTGAACTTCTCTAATATTACCATAAGCATCCTTGAAGTTTCTTTGAACCTCTCCGAATAGCCTTTCTAAGGTTGTTAAGCTTCTCTGAATTCCTCCCAAACTTGTCTGAGGTGTTCCCTGAGTATTCTTGATACTTCCTTCATTGCAATGAGTATGCGTTCGAATTTCTCTGAATGTCTCGTAAGTCCATTGATCGTACTTGAAATTTAAGAAGTTTCTCCATTATTTGGCTGGCAGACTTCTGTAGAGTTCACTAATCTCATCTGAAATTCAACCAAATATCTTAAAGGTGACCACTGAGTCTTTTTTAGATTTCCTAAACTAATAATCGTCCCTTAACTCAGTCGGTAAAGGCGCAGCTACAAATCAAAACCATGCTGGAGGTGGCTGGGTTCAATTTCCGGTCCGTTTTAGGAATTATACACAAATTGGAAAATTGCTCGACCTTCCCTGAGCATGGAGTATGATTGTACTTGTCATACAATTATACTAATACAAAAATGGTAAGGTATCGAAACCTCTCAATTAATAACTATGCTAGATTTCCCTAAACTTCTATGAAGCTCTCTGAACTGTTATGAAATTCGCTGAACTTCTCAGAGAGATTCAGGAATCTAATGAAATGAAGAAGCTGCTAAACTTGAAGAACTTCTGATTGGTTCAGTGAACTTCAGAGAGGTTCATAGATCTTCGGAGTGTATTCAGGGAACTGATAAGGTCGTGGAAGTTCTGAGAGGTCGTTGAGGTTTCAGAGTTATGAAGGGTTACAAATACTCAAATTTGTTCTGGGAGCTACAAAATATTGCTTCTGTGCTCTCATTCTAAAAAACAGGCGTCCATAAAACAAAATGAAAGCCGTATATCAGCTTTATATTGCAAAAATGGGCCCTCATCGGGTTATTAACGGACTTGGTGGTTACTTGGGAATCATGTTATCTTCGTAAATAAGATCGATAAATTTATGTGTAGATCATAAGACCATTGAACTGCATAAAAGTAGTACTGAGAAAAATGGTTGAAGAAGAATCTATGACTCATGAGAAATTGATGACAGATATATTTTTTTACAAAAGCACTTAGGTATGTCTATTTGAAAATGCGTAGTTTTTTTTTTTTATAATTCATTTATTTGTACAGGCTCAATCGAATAAACTTTACAGTGCCGAGTTATCCTTTGCGTTATACATTATTACTGTCTTAAATTTAAAGTTAAATGAACTGGACCGAGTACTCGCGGTTGTCTCGAGGTTAGTGGAGATTTACAATTTGAAAATGTGTAGTTGAAATGATTGCAATGAAGTCTTCAAATGATTAAAACTGAAACTTTGTTGAATTCAGGCTTATTGGAACTAAGCCGTACCAAATTCACATCAGACCCTAAATCTGAAATTCAAATTCGAGTTAAATCTGCGAAGTCTCACTCGGGACATCCGAGTAGTCGGAACAGTCCTGAATTTTTGGCAAATATTTGCTGAAAAAAAGCATGTTTTAAGCAAGTAAATTCTGTACTGAAATCCTTTATTGATGTTGATCGATATTAATGCCTGTATAAATCTGTAACTTTTTACCAATGTCTGTATAATATAAGTCCTCTGTATGAAATCTGTATGCATCATCAAATGTCTGTATAAAAACAGACATGTCTGTATATCTGGCATCCCTGCTAGCGACATCTGTGGCAAAAATCAACCATGCCTTAAATCCATTACATTGACTAACCATGCTTTCTTCTTACCGCCCCTCGCAGAACTTCGGCGTCGTCCCGGGTCACTACGACGATCAGGACCAGTACCACTCGCTACCGCAGCCGGAAACCCAAACGCCCTCCCACGGCTATCTGGAGAACAGTCCGGAGTTCTATTCCGCCATCCAGATGGAGCAGAAGTACATGGCCCCGCACTACAAAACCGGCCCGTATACGAGTCGAGGCGGCCGGTACCACCAGCCACATGCTCACGGTGGCGGTGGAGGTGGAGCTGGGCCTGGCGCTGGCGCCGGATCCCAAAACAGCCACCACCATCATCACCACCAGCACCACCACCCGCACCACGACGCATACCCGGAGTACAGTTCGCCCTACGACACGCCACCGTTCCAGACCGTACCGAGCAATACGACCTCGCCACAGGGATCGGGAAACAACAACAACGACAGCACCGGTCTCGGAGGTCACATGGACCCCTGGAGCCAGCTGCACCACCCCGGTCAACATCCGGGTCACCCGGGAGGACATCCGTCGCTGTTGGACTTCCAACATCCGGCCTACATGGGAACCACGATGGGCTTCGATAAGACGATGCTCGGAAGCTACGGAGCGCAAGGTGGCGCGCCATGTTTCACCGGTTCCGGACCCATTCAGCTGTGGCAGTTCCTGCTGGAACTCCTAACCGACAAGACCTGCCAGAACTTCATCTCCTGGACCGGCGATGAGTGGGAGTTCAAGCTGACCGATCCGGATGAGGTAAGTTACTCAAGCCGTTGCCTTACTCATAAAAACGGAACCTCTAACCAATGTTGTTCGCATCAACAGGTGGCACGCCGGTGGGGCGTCCGGAAAAACAAGCCAAAAATGAACTACGAGAAGCTAAGCCGAGGCCTCCGGTACTACTACGATAAGAATATTATCCACAAAACTGCCGGCAAGCGTTACGTCTATCGTTTTGTATGTGATCTTCAAACTCTGTTAGGGTAAGTTAGTTCATGTTTCACCTCAAGCTCAGCTTAACCATTTTCCTCCTCTCGATCAACAGATACTCAGCCAAACAAGTGCACGAAATGGTTGACCTCAAACCGGACAAAAAGGACGACGAGTAAAATGCCAAAATGCACACTCTACCCTCCCGTCAAAAAGTGTAGCCCAAAGCATGCTTCTTGCTCAAAGAAAACCTAACCAATAAGCGGGAGCGAAACCCAAAACCTCCTTATACTTACAAAATTTCACCCTTTTCGTGTGAATCGTGCTTCCATCGAACGGCTAAAGAAACGAAAACCCAATCGTGTTACCCACATTCTACCTTAAATCTGTGTTTCTTCCCAAAAAAAAAAACAAAACAAAACAAAGATCGTACTTTTACAATCTACCAAAAAAGGAAAACAAAAAAACGATAAAATCCAAAATCATAGTAGACAGAGAGTGCAGCAGCAGCAGCAGCACAGTGGATGAAGCTCAGTGTGCCTTACGACGCGACAAGCTGACAGTTCATTTCAAAACAACAATCGAGTCAACCTCTCTCTCTCACTCTATCACTTTAACACAAGCCAAGCACATCATCCAAGTAGGCTGATGTAAAGAAAAAAAAAAACAGTGACCCGCAGATTTCCCCCAAACAAACAAGTTAAGAACTACGCAAGATCAAGATCCGCTCCCGGATGCATCCGGTTGATTCCGGTTGCGGAAAAGGTAAGCGAAACTTAAATCTACTTAAAAATACAAAACAAAAACAAATGTTGAGAACTGCGGTGCGGAAAGCGAAAAGCTTTTTCCCAGGCAAAATGCGAATAGTGGACAAACAAAAAAAAAAAGAGGTAGAGCTCCACAGAACGGAAGAAAGCAAGAAACAAACTTTATTTTATTTTTCCTTAGTTAAAATAATTATTTGTGAAGCTTTTGTGATAAGTTTTTTTTTTTCTTTATTTCTATTTTTACTAGATATAATTGCTTATATATATGTATGTATGATTATTACTAGATGGTAGGCCACACAAACATGAGATAGAAAATGAGAAATTCGGATTGAGAAGACGTTCCACACGCCTTCTTTTCAGCCGAGAAAAAGAAGCGAAAGGCATCAGAACACGATCCTAGTAAACAATGAAAAAAAATGAGCAGTATAAACAAATCAAGTGAATGTTCTTTGTAGTGTAATATTATTCAATGATAGAAAGCTAGATCGATCGAGACGAGTGAGCGAAGCATTTTTTTTTCGAATGAGCGTTGTTAGGATTGAGTGAGTTCGCTCGCCCCCTCCCCTCGCTAGGATATTTTTTTCATTTTTTTTTATACAAATCAGCAGTGGAGGGTGGAAGCAGCTGATCTCTACTGCGAGTAAACACACACACACACAAAAAATCAGAGTACTATTCTAGAGCTTAATTTGCAGTTCGTGTTTATATTTAGTTTTATAGAAATCGTCATCGCCGTCTGTGCTAGAGGAGCGTTTGAGAACGAGAGAACGTGGTACACGTGAATCAATCACGTTTGAGTGAGAACGGTGTAGTTAAAATGTAAGTGATTATAAAATAGAAGCAGAAATATTATTGTAAACAGAAAAAAAAGTATCAACAACAACAACAGCAACAAATGTCGATCAGAATAAAAGTAAAACAGTAGAATTGTAAATCAAAGATGGATTCCCTGGAAATGGCGGGGTTGCCAACGCGAAGCGTCGAAGGCACTGCCGCAAGTCACACATTTTCCCGTTGATTCATATTGGTGCGATATTTTTTTTTTACATAAAGGAAAAACGACGGATTTCATCAAAGTATTTATATCGATCGAAGTAGGATTTTAGATTCACGTTTATTTTATTTGTGCCTGTCTTGTGTGACACGCTGGAAGTTGCGGATTACCGCCTTCGTGGCAATTTGCGACCGAACTCGGTGAGGCGTTGTGGAAGGGAATCCATTTTGTTTTATGATGTTTAAAAAAAAATCTAATATGAAGGACTCAGGTTCAATCATCCGAAAATGACCTTTTTTACGGTTTTAATTACTGATTTTGTGAGTGCAATGAGAAGAGGAAATTTGGGTTCTGGACTTTGATGTTGATGTCTGTGCTAGGAAAATACGCTTCTAATTTTTGGGTTCACCTATGTTCCTTGATTTGTTGTCCGTCGATCTTGTTTTCCGTACTAAGCACCAATGCTACCGACGCCAGGGAGGCAGCTCCCACACCTGGACCCTACCTATCAACCCATCAACTCATGAACCGGGGACCAACGGCTTTACTTCCCTTCCTAAGGTTTCGCTTATGCAGACGACGTAATTCTTTTGGCAATTGGCCGTACCTTCAAATCCCTACATAGGAAACTTCAGGCAGCTGTATCGGCCACACAAAGATCGGCGTCCCAGGTGGGATTCGTGCTCTCACATCTACCGACCCTCACACCGTCCATTACAATCAGCCATTAAGTGTAATGGGACCACAATACCTTTCCGGAAGACGGTCACAATACTTGGGGTGCTCTTGGACCGGACGTTAAGCTTCGCTCCTCATTTTAACAATGTACGGAACAGCGGCCGCATAAGACTTAGCTTGTTGCGGAAACTTTCCAGCCCTCATCGTAGTAACAACGGGAACATTATGCTTAGGGTAGCAAAAGCCATCGTCAACAGTAAAATCTTCCACGGAATTGAGATTTTCTGTACGGCTAGTGACCTTTTCATTGCGCGGCTAGGTCCCACATATATATTCAAGCCATCCGTATTGCAGCTGGGCTCCTACCGTCCACTCCTGCGGACTCGGCATGTGTTGAATTCGGTGTTTTGCCTTTCCGGTATCAAGTTGCCCTGGTAAGCAGAACAATAAGCTATTTGGAGAAGACTGTCGGAAACGAAGAAGTCTCTCTCCTCAGAGAGGGGAACAGAGCTCTAAGAAACCTGGCCCATCAGGAGCTCCCCCCAGTGTCGAGACTACATTAGACCGGAACCAGAGGATGGGCAGAACCAAGCCTTCACGTTGACCTCCCGGTTGCTAGACGATTCCAGGCTGGTAACAACTCGCGAGAAATGCACGCATACGTGACTGAACTGCTTCGTAGGAAATACTCCGAGCACAGATATACGGATGGCTCTAAGACCTTGGGAGGAGTCGGCCTTGGAATTGCAGATCCCGCTGACTCCTGGACCAGTGCTCTGTGTTCTATGCGGAAAGTGCGGCAATCTTCCACGCCAGCAAACCGCTCTGTATCCTTTCGGACTCTGCAAGTGTTGGAATCCCAGACATCGTTGGATCCAAGGGATCCAACTGGAAGCTCCGTCGAACACTACCTTCCTATGGATCCTCGGGCATTGCGACACCCGGGGGAATTGTGAAGCAGACCATCTTGCGGCTACGGGCCGATCTGGAAGGCTCGCTACTAAAACCGTTCCAGGACCTGATATCAAGACTTGGATGAAGTTCAAACTTCGGAATGCTTGAGCCCAGGAGTGGGCCACCAAAGGGGAACCGTTCCTCCGTAAAATCAAAACCACCACCAAGTGGCAAGATTCCCCAAACCGTCTTGACCAACTGATTCTTTCTAGTCTCCGCTCAGGACATATTCGGACAACCCACAATATGGGAAGTGCGACTTCGTTCCGAAAACACTGTGATATTTGCAACACAACGATGACGGTAGAGCACCTCTTAGTGAATTTCCCAGGTTTCCAGGGAATTAGGGATCTTTATGGGATCCCGACGAACATTAGAAACGCTTTGGCCAATGACCCTTCAACCGAAGCAACTGTTATATGTTTCATCAAGGACGCCAACATGTATAAGAACATCTGACCTAACTCACTGGCAAGAACCAACCATAAACGACCCACTGCATCGAACCAGGACCAACCTCTATAACTGTTCCATCCAAGTAATCACGATGTTCCATTCAAGTAATCGCAGCAACCTACAGCTGCGACCGAGGTGGAAAAATTAGTCATTCGAAGTGTAGATGTCAACCTGAATAAACGTATAGTTAGAAGCACTCAAACCTTCTTTATTCTTTGAGAAGAACACTTCAGCTGGCGACGAGGATTTTTCTGGAAGCTCACAAGTTCATGAAATTCCAGAATCGAACCGAGGAAAACTTTCTTTATTCTTGAGTGTGCGAAAGTTTGAGTGCTTCTAACTATACGTTTATTCAGGTTGACATCTACACTTCGAATGACTAATTTTTCCATCTCGGTCGCAGCTGTAGGTTGCTGCGATTACTTGAATGGAACATCGTGATTACTTGGATGGAACATCTCCCTTCTTAATTCATCCAGTACTCCTCGAATCTAGCTGGTAAACGAGTCTGCCGGCGTTCCCTTGTTGCTGGCGGAACTGGTACTGGATCTTACTGTGGTGGATTGTCTGCCTCACTATCATCCGAAAAATACTCCGTCTCATCACTTCCAAGCTCTTCATCAACTGGACCAAGTTCGTCGGGCACTGCAGCCGGTATAGTTGCTGGAACGGATGGTACGTCGTTGCTGGAACGGATAGTACCGTCGAAGAATACCGATAACAGACTAGGACCTTGGCTTGGACTAGGATCTGGACCAGATTCGACCGCACGTTGCTTGGCATGAGAACGGATGAGCCGCTGATTATCCTCCAGGAAAACGTTGTAGTTGACTTTTCTGGCACGCTCGATTACTGTGGCAGCCTGCCATTTCCAGGAATTTGCTTGATGGACTTGAGCATATACAGCATCACCCGGAACGAACTGCCTCGAAATCGCTCCATGCTTCTTGTTGAAACGCTGGTTTTGCTCATCTGCTTTCGGTTGTGCTGCGGTAGTAGCATTGACGAAACTGTGCGGACCGGTCGTCCGAACATTATTTCTGCAGGAGACTTTTCACCTAGGTCAGCCGTTGGTGTTGACCTGTAAACTTGCAAAAACGTCTGCAATGCTTCCTCCAGTGTGGACTCTGAATAAACCACCATAACAATGAGCCGACCAAATGCACCAAACCAGGAACATCTACTAACTACGACAGCACCTCGACAGCCAACTCTGATAAACAAATATTCTGTTACCAGGGAGGTCTCTTCTGGACTGTCTTAATTAGTGGGTCCCCACCTCATTAACACTATAACTAGGGGGACCCTTCTGGCTCCCCACCGCAATTTCAAACTCTGTCACTAGGGGGGACCCCTTCTGGATTCCCAAATATTCGTCAAGATATGAACCAACCTCTGCCTGAAAGTCTCGCTAATAAAGATAACCTAACCTAACCATTCCTAAGGAAGCCGTGCTCAGAGATGTTATGCCTCAGAACACCCCGGCGGCGCCGACTGAGATTGAACCCAGACCACTACACCACCGGCGCCGATGTGGTGACTCGTTTGCAAACGTCAAATTTTACAATTGAATTTGAATCACCAGGGATCCCACTTTAATCAACAATGTGCAAAGATCCGTATTTTTCTTCTCAAAAACATCGTCTGAGTAGAGTGACCTTCGGTATTCGTAATCTAGAGCACTCGTTATGGAACGCTTGTTTTATGGCTATTCGAATAAATGAAACAGCCGTCAATACTTTCTTCACAGAATTCCCTTTATTCAATCCTCATTTTGCTTCTTCTCATCGTGTCCATATCCATACGGGCCAGGATATCCAGGTCCCGGATATCCTACCGGCCCATACGGATACCCTCCCGGATAGGTTTGCGGTCCTCCATAGCCGCCATAGACGGGATATCCTCCGATCATCCCATTCGGATAATAACCGGTGGGATAGTACGCTCCACTTGGATAGACGACCGGACCACCAGGCAGTCCCCCGGCATTTCCGAAAGTCGGAATCGGAAACGGTAGCGCTATCGGAGGGCTCGTACCGGCGGTGGATCCATCCGAACAACGATACATCCGCTTAAGCTTCTCGATGTCGCTAGGCGAGAAACCCTCTCGCTGACCCATTTTTGCACCATTGGTGGAACGCTGCAAGAAGTCGGAAGAACAATAAAACAGTGGGTTTAGCAACGGCAGTGAGTTTATTAATTTTGTTTTGTTCGGGTTCTTAATGGGCTAGGATGAAGTAAATGAGGCAACAGGTTCCATTTTGTTCACAACGGCTTTCGAGTGAATTATTCGTGATGAGTGTTCTATTCTTCTGCGGCTGCATTGGATGTGGCATTGTTTTCGTTGTCACCGAAGGCAGCCCCAATAAGGTTTCCGATGAATCCAACAACCTGAGCTCCGGTTGGGCCGTTTCCAGGACGTTTGTTCGGTCTAGCCGGTCTGACCGGTCGCTGTGGCTTCGGTGCTACCGATATACTGGAGCTACTGCCACCTCCCTTACAGCCGTACATTCCGTTGAGCTTATTTATGTCCCCCTTGGAGAACCCATTCCGCTGACCCATCTTGTTGCCACCGGATTTCTGTGAAGTGAATAGTGAACAGTGTAACATACACACAAATTGAGGTTATAGTACAACATTGACACAACGCCAGGGGCTACCCAAAACTCTTATTTGCACTCAATACCAAATGGAATTTATTCTACTACATGAAACTTTAAAAAACACAGTGTAAATGTTGAGGTAGTTGATGTGTCCGTTTGATCTTCCTGTACCAGGGTGTCTAATACTGTCTGCCACCAAAGAGAGTGTCCCCGATGTTACTTGCAGTTGTACATGAGATTGATCTTGCGCAGGTCAAACTTGCTAAAACCGTCCCGCTGTCCCATCACACCGGAGAAGGATTTCTGTAGAGACAAGAGAGAGTAACACCAAAACCGTAAACATTCACACATACACGCGCTTTTATAGTTTAGTACACACGAACACAAACGAAACCACTTCATAACCTCCAAACCAAACAAACAAAACCCCCTTCCTGCTCACCTTCGCCACAATAGTAGGCTGCCCGTTGGACGAGAACGCCTTTTCCGAGTAGTGCATCACGCTTCCGTAGTCGTACTGCACCCCAAATCCGTCCGTAGTGCCGGTCTTGGCCTTGGAGAAGTTGTTTTCCGTTCCCCGCTGGATGTTCTGCGACTGGATGCGCACCCAATCGTCCCGCTCGGATCGGTTCTGTTCGTGCAGGAAGCCGAGTGCGTGCATCAGCTCGTGGACGATCGTACCGACCTTGGTGGTGCAACCGGGCATCTGCAGGTTGACTTCCTGTTTGCCGCCGATTCGTCCCACGCTGGACCAACATCCGGTACTGCTGCTCTCAATCGAAATGTAATCCCGCTCGCCCATGTGCGCAACGAATTTGATGCAGGTGTTCTTGTGATATTCATTGATGGCGGCCTCGATCATCTGCATCTCGTTGGCCCCTGTTGGAAGGAGAAGGGGGTGGGGTGGGGTGCACACCCGTTTTTAAGTCAGTATTTTAGAACAACAGTCCTTATCGAAAGTTTTCAGGCGACATATTTGTGCATATATTTAGTCCCTGGACTTGACCCAAGGGGTCACTGGAGGTGATTACCTAGTCTTTTAAGAGGTAATGCATATATTGATTATGATTTTGTGACAAGCAATGCATTAGGTAAAGGAAAAATGTGACGAAAGGGGGGAGAGTGGCTTTAATTTTTCCTCAATTTAGCGTGACATAATAAATGGATCGCCCCTAAGTTGAACGTCAAACTTGGTCGTTCGCCCTTCATGCCTTCTCTAGTCGACGTCAAAGGATTTTGTGGTTAAAGTCATGCAAACTAGACCTATGCTATAGATCGTCTGCTGTTGAATGCCTTCCCCTTGCATCAGTGTCTTGGAGTTGTCCCAAGGGTTCTATTGCATTAATTCACAGGTTTTCTACAGTTCACCTTCAACTCCTGGGAGCTAACCCACAATACCTCTAGAATTAATCCAGGAGACCTATGGCCTCAAGTTCGTTGAATTGTCGTAAAAGTCCTGTGAACATGACCCACAAGCAAGGAATCAAAACTATCTCAAAATAATGATATAATCTTCTTCCCTTTTGTCATGAAAAACTGATTTTGAAATATAGCTCGCTCGGACCTGTAGAAGGAAACGACCAAATTGACAAGCTGTTTCACGAAGTAACGCCGAAGATGATACCCGTGTGTTAATGGGAATTTTTTGGAGATGGTTGGAAATGCTATCTAACATGAAGCTTTATACCCCGGACAGACTATGACTTATATCATGTAATATAGCTGTCTTGCAATGAACACTCATACATCTAGTTTTCACTAGAAATCCAATGTATAAGTGCTCATTGCAAGACAGCCTATATTACATGATAAAGCCATAGTCTGTCCAGGGTATTAGCATAGAGGTAACTCTAAGACCACTGGGTCCCGAAGAAAATCATTATTATTTTTGGCTCACTCAGTACCAGAACAACGGTCCCAAGCAGTCCCAAGCTATTTCACTCACCCCTGCATGTTCTGCATGAATCCACACACCCCTGATGTTATCTGTCAAACTTTCATAGCGAATCAAAACAAACATAGTGTAGTAATAAAATTTCAACTAGAATAGGGTACGTTAATCGTTTGCTTGGGACCAATAGGCTACTAAAGTGGTGAGCCAATTTAAAATCGTTAGTTTCGTATTGATTGTTGGTATTAGCATAGAGGTAACTCTAAGACCAGAACGTCCCGAAGAAACTTGCTCAACTTTTTGGCTCAGCTCTGGTACTATCTTCGGTCCCAAGCTAATCGATGCACCCCTCGAAACATGGGAAAAACAACGAACCCCTCATATTATCTGTCAAACTTTCATAGAGAATCAAAACAAATATAGTGTAGTACTAGAATTCCGACTAGAATGGGATACGTTAATCATTTACTTGGGACCAATAGGCTAGTCAAGTAGTGAGCCAATTTCAAATCGATATTTTCGTATTGATTGTTGGTATTAGTGTGATAATTCACACCGTTTATTAGCTAGAGAATGGTCTTAGAAGAGGGTAGGTAGATAGTTCCGATAGAGTACGACAGTATGAAAATTGAATAGAAGTTGAAAATGAGCGAAGGTCCATTAATGCGACAGTGCAAGTCCAACGCACACTTCTTTGCCTAATACCCCGTTCACATTACAGCGTATATCACGTGATATACGCTGTCTTGCAATGAGCACTCATACATCTAGTTTTCACTGGAAATCCTATGTATGAGTGCTCATTACAAGACAGCTTATATTACGTGATATAGGCTGTAATGTGAACGGGGTGTAATCCGGAACTATCTACCTACCCTCTTTTAAGACCATTATCACACTAAAGCTTGACGTTAGATAGCATTTCCAACCAACTCTGGAGATAGCAAACATCGCGTATGAAGTAACATAAAAACACTTTGAATGGGAACTTTTAGTTATGTCTTTTCTCGATTCCGATCAAGCTATATCCTCAGTTTAAGTTTAAGTTTCATGTCGGTTTGTCGGTGGTAGTAGCAAGCAAGCGTTTTGTCTTTATCGCTGGTTGCTTTATGTGTTTGGATTCATTGCCCACAAGTCTTCTGAACTAGACCTACTAAAAAGAGGTACGTAACGGTATGTTATCTGCTGTACGGAAAAACCAGTAACGCTGGTAGATCACCTTTTCGTGGTGCGTTATTGGTATAAGATCTACCACAGGACCCTAGTCCTAACAACTTGAACAGGATTTTTCACTAATCACTTTAAAAAAAAACACATACAGGGGTATTCAACTCCGCACACCTTAATCTGTGTCAAGAGTTTTGGCAGTGCCGAAAGCTGTGCCAACCGTTGTGCCGATCATTCCGAAGTAGGCCGAAGTGTATCAATCAAGGTGTCAATATCCCATGAGTTTGGCAACTCTGAAGTTAGACTGTTGTGATTATGTTTACATTTTCCAGTTATCTAATTCATGATCATGGCAAATATTAAGCTTCATTCTCATTAGAATGAGAGCGGATTGGGCAGTGGAAGAGAAACTGGAAGCAATACAACCTTTACGGAAACGGAACGGTGGACGAAATTTTCACCAGCTGCCAGTAAAATGATCCCCGACAAAATCAAACCCAGAACTCGAACGGACGGAAGTTTACTCCCACCCAAGCCTGTCGTATCGTAGATTATAATGTCACCCAATTACACACGTTCAAGCCTATCAAGTTCACTTTCCACTAGGTACCACAAATCAAAACCAATGGCCAACCACCAGTGAAAGCCATCAAATGTCCACCCACTTCATATCTGTCGTACCTCGGAAATGGTGCACGATCCAGATAAACTTCGCATCTGCAGTTCAACTATACCCTGTGGTTGTTGTTGTTCATCTGCACTCCCATGGGATCTTGCTGAACAGCAATTTACTAAGTGTCGTCATGCGTCATGCACTTTCCAGATTGAGCAAGGCCTTATAATTGATTGATTGGTAGGCCACCCCTCGCACCGGATCCTTTTGAGACGAACTAGCGCATCAGAAGAGATCGGTGATGATGGGGTGTACTCACGGAATAAAATGTAATTTCTGATTGCATTGATCTGTTCCTATCAATCCTATTCTGTCCTATACAGATCTGATGGAATATTTGGGGTTAATACGTATCGACATCACCCAACTGGGACTTGTTTGGACATCCCTATAAAGTCCTGTGGATTTCCGTATCGAAGTCCATACCAATTGAAACCAATGACTGGCAAGGATACCTAAGGAAAAACTTAGGAGAAAACGATACAATTTTCATGCCGGAAGACCCTTGGCAAGACCGGGATTCCAACTTGGCCGAAATACAAAACCCATCACCCACAGGCCCTATGATGTGGTTTTTTTTTTATCGTTCGTTCTGCATAACAACCTTGTAAAACAAAACGAAAATCCTCCGCAACTGGCACAATATTGTCGTCGTTCAGAGGCATTTGACCAACCGTTGCTGGAGGACACCCATTTTGACCATCTCGACTGTCGTATCGACCCTCTCGACCGATCATGGTGTGGAAGAACTCTGTCGGTTGGAAAGCTATTCTGGACGAAACCTCAAGCCGCTGGGATTTTCGCGACGAATCGGATGAGATAAACACTTAGTGCAGACAGGTTCAGGCAAAACTCAAGCATTTTTCTGGAATCCGAACCCAATGTGAACCCCAATGGAGTAAACAAAGAAGTCAGTGATGTCGTTTTATATTATGTCGATTGTATCCCACTTATCAACGTTTGTCCTAAAGAGCCGAATAGCTGCGCCATGCTGTGTTTCGGCACAGTGTGCAGAGTTGATTACCCCTTGCATATAGTCCTTGTTAAGGACTGAACACAATGTTAGCAGCATAGCGGCATAGCGGTAAGCGCAAATTTTCCATTAGAGATTTAAACGTTCGGTTGTATTGGTACGATATGTGAGAGCGTGTTAGTGAAATAAAGGAAAATACATAACAAATCGCTGTCAAACTCATTGTGACAGATCTAATTTCATTCAATGTTTAGTTTAGCCAGAGGAAAATAATAAACAACACCCGCTAGGGTGCATGCGTTAAACGTCACTAATCTCTTTACACTGAAATCCGTTTGACAACCCACAATAAACGCGTTGCGGCATTGTACTAAAACGCGTTTTTTTTCCATATTTTGGAAAAACGTGGTGCGGTTGAGCGGCAGCCTGTTTTCAGTTGTATTTTTTTTTTCGCCATTTCAGGGAGAGTTGCCTAAATTACATCACCTGGAAAATACACTGAAGCTTCACATTACTAGGCCATTACCTCTGATTGCTGGTTCATGATTGAAAAATCCTGACACAGGATGAAATTTTACTTCTTTGTTCAGTGGAATAGTCCGTTTTACGAAATGACAGGAGCTGGTTTGCCTGACAGATTTTGATGGTATTGACACCGGCTGTTAGGTCTGTACCATTTCTGCATTAGCATAATTGTGTGGCATGTACAGTCATACTCTATGCCCAGGGGAAGTCGCGAAATTTTCCAACCCGAAAAATGCCTAGATCGGACCGGGAATCAAACACAGCCACCCCCAGCATGATCTTGCTTTGTAGTTGCGCTTTTACCGACTGAGCTAAGGGAGGCCTTTGTGTAGTCTGTGAAAACAACTGAGGAGGGACCACCAGGGCACCCAATTGAAGCGATTTGGATGGGGAGAGTGAAAATATCAACTCGCTGTTGCTAACATTTCGTGGATAAAGGGCGGGATCTTCTTCCCATTCATTGGGGCTCGTTTTCCGACCAATTGACTGATCAAGTTGTTAGAAGGAGATTCTTAATTCCCAAAGAGATGAGTAGGCGAATTGCCGATCAATCCATCCATTCGTTTTTGGCCCTTCATACAGCGATTTGCCGAAATCGAAATTGTTATCCATTAACCTCGAGCCCGCCACGAGTAATTGGTACCCAATACTAACCTAGAACTACTGCTGTTTAAAATGTAAATTCAAGCATTACTGATTTTGGCTCTACAAAGTGTCACACACGACTGAGCCTAGTAAATAAACGAACTAGTTAAAAAAAAGTTCAATAGTGAGGAGAGCCCACAGCTATCCGATTAGTTTCCGTGCTACAATGAGTGTAGACCACTATCACCATCATCATCACTATCCTCTGTTAATAACTAATGATGGAAAGCAGTTAATGCGTAATTTCCGACAGATGTCACCATAAGCGCTGAAACCATTTCCATCGTCACTTGTGCAGTGAAAATTGTCACCTAGGGTGAGGCGACTCCGATGTCAATTATAGACCTTTTTGACGTTTAATCGTCTTTCTCTATCTAGCACACATGGATGAATGCACAGTTTGTTTTCCCACTAATCTGTTTCCCTCTTGCTCGCACTCGTTCGATTTAAACGGTGCAGTAGTGTGCGCCGATTAAACGTCAAAAAGCTCTATACAAGGTCTGGCCCAACCGGCTTATTGGTATTAGTGAAATGTGGAAATGTTTAGTGGTGTTTGTATTTCATCGCAATGTTTATCTTTTTACACGTAACAGCTGTTTTCTGTGACGACACGTCTGCCATTCGCAGTATGGAATGTTGTGCTGCCGTGACATCGTCATTCGCTTGTTCAGCAATGTTTACAACATTTTTGCTTCTAGCACCAGCAAGCTGCCTATTGTTCCTTGTATGATTGACATAAAGGGCGAACACGAAATTATTGCGACACATTCAACAGGGCATAACTTTTTTACCATTGGGTAAAAATCAACCAAATTTTGCACACTTTCTCATTGATGTGTATTGTGTACATGCTGTCAAACTCGAAGTCGTGTTTTTCGATTCAACGAAAATGGAGGTGAACCAACGCGAGTTGAGAGAACAAATTCTTTCCAAAAACCTGGAATTTCCTGACCTGTCACACCGGCAGTTGGGAAAAATATTGAACATTCACCATTCAACCGTCATTGAAGCGGTTCCAGGAGCGGTTGACGTTGGACCACGGCAAAGGAGCTGGAAGAAAACCGGGACCTGAGAAACAAAAAGACGGAGGGAAAGGTGAAGCGGATGATTAAAGAAAATCCCAACGTCTCAAGCCGTGATTTGACTAAAAAGATCGGCATGTCGCAGAGCTACGTCCAGAATGCAAAGAAGAGAGCTGGACTACATACATACAAGGTACAGAACTTCCCAAACCGCGATGAGCGGCAACAATCGACGGCTAAAACTCGGGCACGGAAGCTCTACGAGAAGATGCTGACAAAATATGGCTGCTGTGTGATGGACGACGAAACGTATATAAAAGCCGATTTTAAGCAAATTCCGGGGTTGGAGTTTTTCACCGGCAAGAGCAAGTTCGATGTGGACGACAAATTTAAGAAGAAGAAAATGTCGAAGTTCGCCTCCAAATATCTCATTTGGCAGGCCATCTGCTCTTGCGGACTGAGGAGTGAGCCTTTCGTGACAAAGGGCACAGTAAATGGCGAGATCTACAAATCTGAGTGCCTCGAGAAGCGCCTTTTGCCGTTCTTGCAGCAGCACGACGAAGCTCCGCTATTTTGGCCAGATTTGGCATCATGCCACTATTCTAAAAGTGTCCTGGAGTGGTATGAGGCCAATTCTGTCCATTTTGTTCCAAAGGACATGAATCCGCCAAACTGTCCGGAGCTGCGCCCGGTGGAGCAGTACTGGGCAATAATGAAGCGGGAACTTCGGAAGAGCAAGAAGACAGTCAAAGACGAGAAGGACATGTTAAGAAAATGGAAAAAAAACTGTGAAACTGGTACCGGATGACACTGTAAAGACTTTGATGGAGGGCATCAAGCGAAAATGCGTTCAATTTTACACTCAAGGTTCCATCGATTAACTTTTCTTTTGATTTTTGAAGTAAATATATGTATAAAACTACCCTAAAATTTTGGTTTGATTCTAAACATTATAAGAAAATTGGCATGATATTTTCGGTGTCGCAATAATTTCGTGTTCGCCCTTTAGAGGCGACTCTCCGTGCAAATCAGATGGAGAATCACTTCACCCGAGGTGGCAATTGTCACTACACCATCACTTCACTGTCACCTCAACTCACACGTCGCGCAGAATAGGACTAAACTGCTTTGATCTGAGACTTCCCTTACCTCAGGTAGTAAAGATGCAGAGCTTTAAAACAAGACTAGGAGCAATTTTTCAGATTGGAAATGTTTTGATTTCCTACAGAATTTTGCCAATGCAAAAATGACAATTCAATTAAAAACTGTTGAGGACATGCGTGAAGCTCTAGTTGAAACGTAACAACCAAATAAGAAGAAGAATACATCTCTGAACAACGAATCCCAAACAACAATAGAAAATCGGTTTAGATGCACATAACAATTCTAAATAGAGTTGGAATTAGGGCGTAACAGCTTTTGTAAACAATGATTTCTAGAAACTCAAGGCGCGCCCACGCAAATCAATATCACCATTAGGTAGGGGAAGTCTTGCCCTACCCGTTGGTTATGTTGGTTTGCGTGGGAACGCCTTGAATTCTTATAAATCTTCTACAGAAGTCATTGTGTGCTGTTAGGTCCTAATTCCAGCTCTATCTAGAATTATTCTCTAAAATGCGTTAAGACTAGTAAAAATCTGGACGGCTATGGTTTGATAAACGAACAGTTAAGTTCCCATATTAACATTTGATCTATACAAAACTCAACACTCACGGAAGTTTCCATTGATCTCGAAAGGCACTACACCACCGGGCCAGCGCGAACTCTTGTCCGCCAATCCATTCCGGCCGGCCGGCCTATTGATCAGCATATCACCGCCGACGTACGAACCCAGCTCCTCCGGATTCACTCCATCCTTGTCCGGATCGTAACTGTTGACCAACTTTCCAACTTCCTCATTCGGTTCACCGTAAATCTCCAGCCCCAGATGGGACAGATCGATTTCACCGTCATCACCGTCCACCGCGTTCTCATCCCGTAGGATCACATTCGATTCCACCGCCAGCACCAGCCACGTGGCCACTAGCACCAACAATGCGTTTCGCGACATCACTATTTTCACTTTGCTACTTTTACTTGACGTATTTAGTAACAGTATTGACTGAACTTGATCGTCACTGAGCGAACACCAGGTGGGAACTGATTACTAACTCAGCGACCCGGCTACCTATTTATATGGAAGTGAAAATGAAATGAATTCACTTTTCCATTTCTCCCTATTAATTTGATATACTGAAAAAGAAAAACAAGACAACAACGCAAGCGTAGATTCTTTTTCCCTTCAACTTGTTGTCACCCACCCAAGTCGTTACGATCGTCGTTCAAGAACGCAGTTCCAAGAACCGCCCGCTTTGGGCCTACTAAGGATCGCCGCCGTTCTTGTTCTAAAGAGTGCAAGCAACAACAAAAAATACTACGATGTGTTCTTTTCATTGACCGATAAGACGCGACTACGCCGTCGGTTTCCAGCAGTTCACGATGAAATGTTACCACAAATTGGGGAAATACAATTCAAAATCCAAAGCCTACCGCGGTGATCCACAGTGACAAACAGAGACATGGTGTAAACAGTCCCGATTTTGTCGTGTCCAACATTCTAATAAAGAAAAAAAAACCTAAATCAAAGAAAGGTTGGGTTCTACAATTTCGGGAAGTGCTTAAACTTGAACCTCGGCGACGGCGCTGTTAACCGGTTGTAAAACGGTAGTAATGAAAGCTGCTCGAAATTTTCGCACATCCTTATCAGTAATAGCTTTATGATTGATTGTTAACCTCGTACTCGCGGTTCGCACAGAAGGAGGTCGAATCTGGTTGTTGTACTACTACTGGTACTACTAACTGATAACCTTTCTTTTTCTTCTTACAGGAGGTGAGTGACTGTTGAAGGTGCTTCGGATCAGCTTCTCAGTAGAGGGTAAGTACCAACAGTTTAGGGAAATTTGAAACACGAAAAAATTGGTTGCTCCAGATTCTACCTTAGCCTAAATTTGTACGAACGGGTTTCTTATCTCCTTGACGACGGTGCGGGGGTTTCGTTCTTAATTATGCACGGGGTAGTAAAACTTCAATTAGTAATAGTCTGTTCTTTTTTTTATGAATTCACGCTTCAGTGAAGCCTTGGCTTAGTTCTAAATTTTTAACCCGTAAAAGCGGAAGGATTAATACAAATTGATATTGTTTTACAACCGCCATTTCCGGGGGAACAATACAAAGTCACAAATCTACTTAAAAACAAATAAACATTTAACAAGAGGAAAGTTCCCAAAAGCAGGTGATAGTGAATTATTACTGTTTGCTGTCAGCCCAGTTCCTTAGCGAGTGAACTTTCAGCCAGCGTCCGTCGTCGTGAGCGGTATTGTCCCATATGAATACGTTTGCCATTATTATCAACAGAGGGCAGGGCTAAGTAATTGAATTAATTAGCACTGATTGGGTTGGGGTGGTGGTGATTTGTGACGAACGATTCCTTTGACTTCTTGAATGGTGCGCTGTTCGAGAAACTGGTTTACAACTCATCATAGTCATCAATCGGTGGTGGTTGCTGCTTGTTTTACATTGTTCAAGTTTTGTTCTTCGCATTTTATTCTTCTAGGCTTTTACACTCTGTAGCGAGCGTTTTGCTGATTCTCAACTTAATTTTCTAGATGCACTTTCACAGTTATTAATGGAGAGCATTGTGTGGCAAGCACAATGATACTCTCTGTCCAAGGTAGTCGAGAAAATTTCCAATCCGAAAGATTTCCTTGACCGGACCGAGAATCGAACCCGCCGCCTCCTGCGCTTGGTGATGCCGTGCCTTCGCTGAGTAAGCTATCTGAGGCCCTTCATTTCTACAAGCTACTAATAACTTCAGAATGATGATTTAGTTTATCATCACATTCCGACTAAAGAGCCTGAATTTATAAAGAGACGACATGTCAAAATTGGAACAATCGGTTATCTGTCAAAGTCATAGGAAAAGTCATTCCAATCGAGCAGAAGACCTGTCAAATGGATAAGATTTCACCTCTTTATAAATTCAGGCTCTTTAATTCCGACGATTTTCTCAAATTATTCCCAAATCTTGGGAGAAGTTCGGAAGCCACACACGGTCAATGAGATCAACCCAAATTTGAGTTCAGTTTATTCATAAATCGCCAAAAGCGTAGGAACTCAGCGATGGGTAAATTTGCCTAATGTTTTTCCAGGAAAAAATTCCCGAATATGAGAAAAGTAAAGATTGGATTCTCTTAGTGTATTGGTACTACTCCTAGAATGAGTCAAATTTTGGTCAATTTTCCTCATTTTCCGGCGGATTTTTTAGGTTTTCCACAGGAAAACGTGACGCAGGGCCCAACAAAGTCACTTTCAATCGAAAATCGTCAAGCGACGACAAAGGTGTCAACCATCACTTTCAATTGAAAGTCATTCTGTCTTCACTTCGAGCAGATCCTCTTCAACATCAACAGAACCGCTTTGGATCAGTTTTCATGCTGTTTGTTTTTTGGCTTGATTCGTGTTCATTTCGTCTTTCATTGTCAAACGAACTTGCTTTCGCATTGAAGCGAAGCTGTTCGATCCAAATTTGCGCAGTTTTTTCTGATTTTTGTTGATTGTTCACTCGGGTCATTTAAGCGCATGCGCACACTAATAGAATTCCACACATTTTTATTGACGAATTTCCATGTTAAATTCCACATGATTTCCATGTGATCACACATAAGGGGCTGTTCATAAACTACGTAGACAGTTTTTATGATTATTAACCCCCCCCCCTCCCCCTGCGTAGACAATTGTCCATACAAAATTTTGAAAAATTTT